GAACCACACAAAACAATCAGTCGACTTCATCCTCGAATACATAGATAACTTAATAGACCAAGTTACTGTAACGGGGGCAGCCTATCTATGTATCGCTAGAATCCAATAGAATAGATGCGGCCGTGCAAGATAGAAATCAGGTGCAGATTTATTCAAAGATACTATCGCTTAGAACTCAATAATCTTTAAGGCCTCTGCTACCGATAATTCTAGGTCAAGATGAAGATGAGGATCCGGACAGTTTGGGCGGGAATGATCCTGAGTACTTATACTCCAAAGGACTCTATTCCCTGCTCCTACTTCCTTACTAAGTTCTGGTGCTGCCTTCTAGCGGAAGGGAAGCAATACCATCGCTACCCCGCTTCTCTCTAAGCGTCAGCGAGTGCTTCCGGTTCCGAAGGCAACCACCCTTAGTCAAAGCCTTTGTAACACCTGCAGCCGTTGTTGCCAAACAACAGGGGCCTGCATGAATGAGTTGCCGCTCAGGTGTAAGCTTAATCATTGCTGTAGTGCTTTCGCTTATTGTAGACTTCCCAGGCATAATCCCTTCCGTTACCGGCGGACTTCCAATGCTCAGAGGATGTAGAGGATCGCCGAGCACTCAGAGCTTCACTCTGGCTGGCCTTCTAATCATTGGCGAGGCACAGACTCGTCAGTCATTGCTCCCATGAGTAGATCCTCTTCCTAGCGCTCAGAATGTAGTTACTCTGACAGCTGGTAGCTAACCACACTGCCGGTACTTGCATGTCACTGTGCAACTGGCTTCTAACAATAACTCTCAGCATGTAACCGGGCCCTGTGTGTACTCATACACCAGACAGTTGAAATGGCTCCGTTACAGTTACCCCGTGGAGCCAAGGACATCCCAAATCTAAGAAATGGTGGACCCCAGAACTGAAGAAACTCAAATCTACCCTCAACACACTAGAAAGGAAAGCCAAAAACACCCAAAAAGACGAAGACAGAGAACCCTTCAGGAAAATTAGCAGGAAATGGACCGCAGCAATCCGCAAAACCAATGTAACGGCAATATTATATTTCGGCTAAGGTGATAGATGGGGTTGTGAAGAGAAGGAATTGTGCAGTTGGACTATGATTTGTAATGGGTTTTCTTTTATGTTCTTTCGGTTTCCATTACGCAAGATATTAGTCATCAACGGACTAGGAGTTGGATATATAAGGGGGTGTTGTCTCGTGCCTTTTCATGTTTTCATTCCTTTCCTCTTCTCTTCACGGAACCTCTTGTATCTATTCCACGAATACTACTTTTGTTCTAAGCCTCGTCATAGGGTTCAACTAGTTTGTCATACTAGGTAGAGACACTCCATAGTCCATAGTCTTGAATATCTATCCCCACGTCCTCGCCTCAGTTGTATTCCTTGGCACTATAGTCCCTACGCCCATAGACCCCCGTTACAACCAAGGCGGAACAAAGGGAGAAAGAAATCACGGAGGCCAAGGGAAGTGCCATCTGGAAACTAGTCAACAAAGGGAAAAGAAGGGACATCACAATCCCAACTATTCAAGGTGAAGAAACGTTTGCGGGGAAGTGCCAAGCTCTAAGAGCCCAACTCTTCCCCACAAATCGGACGTCCCCCAACAACCCCCCCCTCCAAATAAGACCCCCCTCATTTGACCTTAGTGACGATTTCCAGGAAGTAACAATAGAAGAAATTACATCCGCAATCAAATCATGCCCAACACACTCAGCCACTGGCCCTGATAACATCCCATATCCATTCATACAAGCAACAATCAAGGCAAACACCCAGCTCTTCCAAGATATGTTCTCAGCCATGCTCCGACATGGAGTCCAACCGGATCGATGGAAAGTGGCAAAATTCATACCAATCCCGAAACCAGGAAAATCCGACTACTCATCGGCCAAAGCTTACCGACCCATCTCTCTATTACAATGCTTTAGCAAAGTACTGGAAAGATAGTGGCAACAAGGTTATGCACCGCCGGAACTATCCTGGAAACACTCAGTAAAGAACAATTCGGAGGCAGACCAACAATCTCAGCGATCGATGCTTTACTCCGCACGCTCACGCCCATCCAACAAAATCTACTGATCAAGCGAACTACAGGAACTACCCCAGACAGACCAGCACTCCTCACAAATGACATACAAGGAGCCTTCAACTGTGTCGACCACCTCCTACTCGCCGAGATCATGACCCAACAAAGATTCCCAACATACCTGACGACCTGGTGCAAGGAATTCAATACCAATCGAACACTTCAATTCCAATTCAATCACGAACTGGAACCACCACGACCATATACCTCAGGACTACCCCAAGGATCCCCCCTATCCCCAGTATTATTTATGATATACGCTGGGGTAATAACAGACCCCACCAACTCTCCCAAAGAAATCAACACCACTTACATCGACGACGACGCACTCATCCAACTCGCGAAGTCCCCTCTCTTCATCACCAAAAGACTTAACGAAAGGATGGAGGAAAGAATAAAGAAAGCAGAACCCCTCAACATCAAATACGAACCCCAAAAATCCGACCTAGTCTTCTTCAAACCCACAACATCAAGCACCCCGAACCCCAAAAACTCGGTAACAATCGCAAAAGAAGAAATCCACCCCAAGGATAGACTCAAATATGTAGGAGTCTGGCTGGATTCAACGCTCTCCTTCCGACCACACATCGAAGAAACCATCGCCAAAGGCCTCAAAGCCCTAGGCAGAATCAGAAACATCGCCTACCTACCAGGATCAACAGTAAAATCCATTCACCACCTCATCGTCCAAGGCTTCCTCCCCACCATCCTATGGGGATCGGAGGCATGGTGGACAGGAGCCGACCACATCCTCCGATCACTATCCCCTCTCTACAACGAAGCCGCCAGAATAATAACAGGCCTACCCCACTGGACAAAACCGAAAAGCTACTGAAAGAGGCAGCACTCCCCCCATTCGAATACCTCCTCAATCACAAATCACGGAAGTATGGGACGCACATCCTCTGTCACCCTGCGGACCACCCACTCAACGAAGGACTCACACAGCTCCTCCCAACCAGAACAAAAGATATCAAAGGCACAGGCCTACATCGGATTGCATCACTCATGCTACCCTTCCAGGAACCTGGCAACCGCAGAGAGCGATGGATACAGAACGATACCCTCACCAAACATATGCTGGAAGAATGGAATTCTATCCCACTCACCAACTACCACGAACCAGGAACCCTAAAGATCCAACCAAAACGAGCAAAACTTCTCCGATCCAAGGCAAAACTCATACACCGCATACGATGTCAAGTCACTAGGATAGACAGACATGCAGCATTCACGGAACCTGAACCCTGCCAATGTGGCTCGGAACAATCCTCTAAACACACCATGATCGACTGCCCTCGATGGACACAACTACGAAGACCACTTATGGACAAAATCCCAGGGCCGCCCACTTGGGAAAACTGGCTATTTACCAACCTCAAGGTAGACCTTATTCTACAATTTGCAGCAAAAATCAACCTACTTGACTGGTACGAAATGGACGAGGAGGACCCGGAGGAATGATGATTGGTTTCTTTGATTTACTTTCTCCTTTCCTGTACCCTCTCATGATTTCTTTCGTTAATCTTTTCTTTTCCTTTTCCTTTTCCTTTTCCTTTTCTGTTTTTTCCTATGTTTGATGGCGGAGGATCCGGCGTGCGATAAGTCCTGTACTTCAAAGCAATATAAAAACTATCTATCTATCTATCCTGTAATTACCCCACGAATACTACTTTGTTCTACGTCTCGCCATAGGGTTCAACTGGTTGGTCATACCAGGTAGAACCGCCCCATAGTCCATAGTCCCGGATACTTACTACTACGTATTCGCCTCGATTGTATTCCTTGGCACCATAGTCCCTACGTCCATAGACCCCCGTTACAGCTATCCGCCCCATCAAGGACTTTGGCTTGGGGTAAAGGGGGGTAAAGAAGGAGGGAACTAACCAATCTATAAGGTCGGGAAGACTTCCACTAATCCCCCTAACTGACCCTCATAGCCAGTCTTCCACATCAGCTGAATAATACTATTCAGGAAGGAGTCTATTCCTCCCTTGGCTGTGTGGGTGAGGGTGTTCCACTGGGCTACAGCATCATCCCTAGAGATGGCTTCGTCAAAGGCTGCTCTGAGAGCATCCACAAAGGAATCCCAGCGCTTCCATCTCTCATCCAACACCACAGGCATCCCAGCTATCCGGTTGGCAGAAGCTGCAAGAAATGGACAACGCGGGGGTTGTGCGGAAGGACACAATAGCGGTTAAACTATTAAGTCGTCAACCTGATTTCAAGGCGGAGAGAATTCAAAGAATTTAGACGAGAAACGAGAGCAGAGAAAGCTAGGTTCTAATGTCTATATTATATGTATCGCTTAATTGTTGTTTTTTTATTACAAAGTCAGAAGAAAGAGGAAAAACAGCCCGATATTTATACAAGAACCGTGTCCCTTCCGACCGAGAGAGAAAAGAGGACTAAACAGTTGGAAAGCCATTTGACCCCGAGAAACTGCCAAGAAGTATGGAAACAGATAGAAGAGTGTCGGTTGCATAAGCGTCCGATCACGTACATAAGTGTATGACTCAATGTTCCAACATAGGAAAGTAATACCCGAGATAACACCCATATGTAAAGTAGAAACGTAATAGAAGCCCAAAAGAGATAGTTATCGGTATAAACCCTGTGTCCCTTATCAAATGACTCGTAATGAAATGTATGGAGATAAACAAATATTAACGAAGTAAATGAAAGAAACAAAGTTCACCGTAAATTCCAACAGAAGCTTGATCAATGGAGTTGTGGTAAGCTTCATACCACTTGACCGGAGCATTTCCTTCCATCGGGTTACCAGCATAATGGATCCTAACCTCTTCAGAGGTGAAGGGGTATCTCTCAATGGAGAAGACATTTTCACATTGCCGGATAAAGGTCGCCACATTGTCTGCTTTGCCATTGAACTTGGTCAGAGGGGGTGCCTTGGGTTCTCAGGCCCTAGAGGCAGCGGAGGGGTGCGAGGGGGCCAGAGGTCTCATGAACTGGGGCATGGAGGCCAGAAGCTCCTTCTTCTGCTTCTCTAACTTCTTCCTGAGGTATCTCCACCATCCTCTTCTGTCACCATCCTCAGGCTCGGAGTCTGAGCTGTCTGAGTCCCCTCCTGGGTTGGGAGTGCCGCCAACCGGGGGGACTATTCCATCTCCTCCACCATTACCCGCTGGTTCTGCGTTCTGGTTTTCTCCACCAGGATTTCCTTCTGGCTGGAGGTTCCTCCTAGGTGGCTCCGGGGGTGGTGAGCCTCCGTGGCATTCTGGGGATAACCCCTGTCGAACCCAGGCTAGGGGGAGCCCAGAAGGACCACTCCTGACCGGTGTCTGCGAGTAATAGTCATTGTCTCCTATAGGTTGACGGGGGGGCCTAGCCAGGCCTCCTGCCAAAGGGCTTGCTGGAGCTCTTTAAGGAGGTAGAGGTGAGCCTCCAATAGCCGATGGCATCATCAGGGGAAGAGTCCTCTGCCTGATAAACCTGACCGGAAATGCTGCAAAGGGGTTCACCCTTTGGTCGAAGGTTCTCAGGGCCGCTCTGGACGAGGCCCTTGAGTTCTGCGGAGGTGCGGGGTTGGGGACAGGTCCTGGTGTGGGCATACTGGCGATGGAGAGCCTTCCTTCATTGATGGCTCTCTGGATATCTTCCAGGAAGTTAGGGGGCATCGCCGGGCTTGTCCACTCAATGTCTTCCATCTCATCCATTCTTAAGTCATCTCTCTGAGCATAATTCTGGAGTTGTGCCTGGACTGAGGAGACTTGTTCTTGCATGTAACCAAAGGCATTCCTGAGCAGGACTGCCTCAGTTTCTTGTCTTTCTTACATCAAAGCTAGCGCATTGCCGGCCTTGATGACTTGTTGTTGCAGGCTGTGCTTAAGGTAGCGCTGCAACTCCGCAAAGAAGTCCTGTAGGGTGACTTGATCGGTATCTTGCCAGGTGGGCTCACATCCAGGGATGTAGGACTGGAGCGCCGTCCTGGGCTTGTGGATCAACTGTGTCTGACCCTTTTGGAATTCTAAGGCTGCCGGTTGCCATTCAATCTGAAGGGGCACTTGGGGAGCCGGGAGGGCGGACATGTTGTAGGAGGAAAGAATAATCTGAAGTTGAATTGAGCCTTAAAGATTATCTGTATTTATTTATCCATGCAATACCATATTGATTACCGCCTCTTAAAACTGTAATCCTATGTAGAACGAACTTAATAACGAAACATTGCTTTGTTCTACAAGTATTTTGAAAGTTTCTTTATATCCATCAGCGTAAAATGAACAGTGAGCTCCCTTCTCTAAGCTTAGGCCTTGCCATGGCTTCTGAGCAGGCTGTTCGTGCCGATGACTTATAAAGTCCGACTTGTGGATCTCCATCATCACTCTCTTAATTTTAGGCAGTCTTTGAGCCCCGCTCAAAACCCCATGGATGAGTTGCTCTGATGGAGACTGGAGAAATTAGATAGTTGGGTGGGAAGAATCCTGAGTACTGATACTCCAAAGGATTCCGTTCCACTGCTCCTACTTCCTTACTAAGTTCCGGTGCTGCCTTCCAGCGGAAGCGAGGAAATACCACCGCTACCCCGCTTCTCTCTAAGCATTAGCGGGTGCTTCCGGTTCCGAAGGCAACTACCCTTAGTCAAAGCCTTTATAACACCTGCAGCCTTTGTTGCCACACAACCAGGACCTGCATGAATGAGCTGCCGCTCAGGTGTAAGCTTAATCGTTGCTGTAGAGCTCTTTGCTTATTGTAGACTTTCCCATGCATAGTCCCTGCCACTACCGGTGGACATATCATGCTCAAAGGATGTAGAGGATCGCCAAGCACTCAGAGCTTCACTCTGGCTGGCCTTCTAATCATTGGCGAGACATAGACTCGTCAGTCATTACTCCCATGAATAGATCATCTTCCTAGCGCTCAAAATGTAGTTGTTCTGACAGCTGGCAGCTAACCACACTGCCGGCACTTGCATGTCACTGTGCAACTGGCTTCTAACAATAACTCTCAGCATGTAACCAGGCCCTTTGTGTACTCATACACCAGACAGTTGGAATGGTTCCGTTACAATAGGTTCGGATTGATATCGAGTGCTGAGGCGTAGCGATCGGAAAGAGTACTATCGACGCATGTGTTAAGTATTCTCCCTGTAACGGGGGCAGCCTATCTATGTATCGCTAGAATCCAATAGAATAGATGCGGCCGTGCAAGATAGAAATCAGGTGCAGATTTATTCAAAGATACTATCGCTTAGAACTCAATAATCTTTAAGGGCACTGCTACCGATAATTCTAGGTCCAGATCAAGATGAGGATTTGGACAGTTGGGCGGGAATGATCCTGAGTAGTTATACTCCAAAGGACTCTATTCTCTGCTCCTACTTCCTTACTAAGTTCTGGTGCTGCCTTCTAGCGGAAGGGAAGCAATACCATCGCTACCCCGCTTCTCTCTAAGCGTCAGCGAGTGCTTCCGGTTCCGAAGGCAAACACCCTTAGTCAAAGCCTTTGTAACACCTGCAGCCATTGTTGCCATACAACAGGGGCCTGCATGAATGAGCTGCCGCTCAGGTGTAAGCTTAATCATTGCTGTAGAGCTTTCGCTTATTGTAGACTTCCCAGGCATAATCCCTTCCGTTACCGGCGGACTTCCAATGCTCAGAGGATGTAGAGGATCGCCGAGCACTCAGAGCTTCACTCTGGCTGGCCTTCTAATCATTGGCGAGGCACAGACTCGTCAGCCATTGCTCCCATGAGTAGATCCTCTTCCCTAGCGCTCAGAATGTAGTTACTCTGAGAGCTGGTAGCTAACCACACTGCCGGTACTTGCATGTCACTGTGCAACTGGCTTCTAACAATAAGTCTCAGCATGTAACCGGGCCCTGTGTGTACTCATACACCAGACAGTTGAAATGGCTCCGTTACACTCCCTATGGTAAGACGACACGAGGGAATGCGGGTAGCAGTTATGCACGCCAAGCATACCGGTAGGGGTTCTGTGCCGGAATCAAGCACTCGTATCAATGGGCGAGTCAGGCGCACAGGGAGAAGAAGTGCTTCAGCTGTAACGGAGCACTTTCAACTGTCTGGTGTATGAGTACACACAGGGCCCGGTTAGATGCTGAGAGATATTGTTAGAAGCCAGTTGAACAGTGACATGCAAGTATCGGCAGTGTGGTTAGCTACCAGCTGTAACAGGGCCACAGTAGGGCTGTTACAAAAATACCTGTTCTACCAGTCAAGCCATACGGCCCTAGGTTAACCGCAGCTGGTTCTTCATCGATGGGTGAAGAGAAGGGCAGATGAGCCCCTACCTCTATTGGTATAGAGGGTAGAGATCCTGGCGAGCAAGAAGTCTTACAAGTCAAGCTAGACGACTGGACCAAAACTAGAGCAGCAGGACGAGCAGACCAAATAAGGAAGGGTAACCCCAAACAAAAGTTACCCTACCTTGGCATTCAACCTTTGAGGCGCAATAACTTTGCAGCCGATGCCCGGAAAATATGCTTTACCACGTCAGAAAGGATCCTGGCGATGCTCCGGTCCATTTGGGGTGGTTGAATGAACGCATTGCAGAGTTGAGGAAACACTGCAAAATAAACACGTTTTAGACCCCCAAAAATAACCCCCGGAGCGTCGAACCGCCGGAACCCTCCTGTTTCAGCCCGGTGCATCTTTGGGGGGAGTAAGAGTGCGACCCAAACTACCAAAGCAAACCTTTGCTTTAAAAACACCCAAATCTATTCTAAATACTCTGAATAAGCAATTGCTGTCTGGTCGGCTGTTTCCTCTAGTTCCTAGGATCCCGACCCTTTCTTGGCAAGGATTGCGAGATTTGACTCGGACGAAAATTCGTCGCCGGCGGTGTGGCAAGCAACTCTTCTCCCCCCTGATAGAAAATAGGTGGATAGAAAATAGGTGGTGGTGCCCCAGATTATTTGAAAGGCGGACGGCCAGTGAAAAAAGGAAAGAGGTAATGAAGGAAGGGGCGCCGAACTTCCATAAAGGAACTCGGTTGCCCCAGCTTGGTTTCGGGGGGATCAGGGAGTCTTTACCAGCGAGGAGCCCCCTTAAAATTATTAAGTTTCTAGACTACAAATAACGATCAAACAAATGAAACTCTATCTTTCCATGGAACGAGCCGAAAGGATAGCTTGTCGAATTCCTTTCTGCCTATCTACCTGATCGAAGTCACGGTCGCGCCCCTTCAAGGCACCCTCGTTACAGTATAACTTTAAGCTCCTCGCTTAAAGAACCCCACGAGAAAGAAAAAAACCTACCTGAACACCTAGGACCACTTTCAAGGCTGAAATAACCGAGCAGTTAGCTTTTTTTTTTTCAGCTCAGGCTGGCATGGGAGAGGCTAACACTTTACTATGGTCTCCACTGTATCCGTCAGAGGGTTATAGCGCCCACATTCGCTCAAAGGGTTATAGCGCCCAGCTTCGCTCGGAAAGGAGACCACATTCAGGATCGCTCCTAGAAAATCCTGATAGTCCCATTGACCAACGGCCCCCATTCCCCATCTGGGCCCCAGTCCCAACCAAAGTCAACGTTACTTCGTCCACGATGACGGCAGGAAGAGTCCGGAAGAGGGGATATAACTGGCTTTCTTCTGGCGCCACCATGCCTCGTAATATGCTTGGAGAGACAGTCTTTGTCTCTCCCTTGCCTCTTCTTGGACCACTCGCTGCCGCATCCACTCAGCTCCCCTTCCATCTCGCGCAATCTCATCCCGCATCCACCGCACCTGTTCCCGTTTCTCCATCAGTGCCGCACGGACACGAGCCTGACCAACACTTCTGTCCCCTGGTTGGGAGAAGGGATAAGGACGACGGTAATCCTCCCGAGTCAGAAATGGGACCTGGTTGAAATGGCCATCGAAGGTCGAGGTCTCCAAACTCCGAGGAACAGCATGCCTGTGGAAGCATTAGCGATAGTAAGAAGAGGTTACACAACTCGCTGGATCATGCCTACCTCATAGCACTCCGTGATCGGACGGCTTTACGAGCAACTCTCCGAGCGTGGATGGTGTTACCACCATCCAGCTCCAGGAGATCAGTAACAACCGCACCAGTTGAGGATCTAAGCCTTGTCCCCCGCCGAGATCGACTAGCGTTAGATAAAAGCGCTTGTACAATAGACGAATTGATCGCAATGAACAAAGAGAGGAATAGAATAAAGAAAAACATTATTGCTGAAAGGAGGTGATAAATTTGGTGTTGGGTGTGGAAAGATCGAACTCCCTGGAGTGTAGAATGAATAGAAGGAAAAGAATTCTTACCCTCCTTAGTTCGACGGATACCCCGCTTTTATAAGCGAACTCCTATTCCAGTTCCGAGAATCAGCGTGGTTAGCCGAAGCAGGAGTTCGGTCCGGCTTTAACCGAACCCGGCACTAACCGTGGAAGGAGACAAGGACACCGAGTTTACCTGGTCTGAGGGATAGGAGCATGCGTTCGAAGTCCTGAAAGAGGCCTTCCATCCGCCCCCGTACTAGCCCACTTTGATGCCGAGCTAGCTACCAAGATTGAGACCGATGCCTCCAACTTCGCTAAATCTAGCATACCGTCCCAATTCCACCGATTCCACCGAGATGACAACAAGTGGTATCCAGGAGTCTTTTACTCCAAAATGATGTCACAAGCCGAACGGAATTATGACGTTCACACGACAAGGAGTTAGGTGCCATTGTGTCATGCTTCAACGAGCGAAGTCTCCCAGGAGAAACCTCCAGCCGGAGGGAAACCTCCAGCCGGAGGGAAACACCCGGTGGAGAAAAAACCAGAACCCAGAACCAGCGGGTAATGGTGGACAAAATGGAATAGTCCCCCCGGTTGGTGGCGATCCCAACCCGGGAGGGGACTCAGATAGTTCAGATTCGGAGCCTGAGTATGGAGATAGGAGAGGATGGCGGAGATACCTCAGGAAGATGCTGGAGAAGCAGCAGACAGAGCTCCTGGCCTCCATGACACAGTTCATGAGACCTCCGGCCCCCTCACACCCCTCCGCTGCCTCCAGGGCCCGAGAACCAAAGGCACACCCTCAGGCCAAGTTCAATGGCAAAGCAAACAATGTGGAGACCTTCATCAGGCAATGTGAGAATGTCTTCTCCATTGAAAGCCAGTTCTTTACCTACGAAGAGGTTAGGATCCGATATGCTGGTAACCTGATGGAAGGAGAAGCCCCAGCCAACTGGTATGAGGCTTACCACAGCTCCATTGACCAAGCTTCTGCCAACCGGATAGCTGGGATGTCTGTGGTGTTAGATGAGAAATGGAAGTGCTGGGATTCCTTTGTGGATGCTCTCAGAGCAGCCTTTGGCGAAGCTATCTCTAGGGATGATGCGGCAGCCCAATGGAAGGCCCTTACCCTCACAGCCAAGGGTCAGTTAGTGGATGATAAGATCCTCAGTTCCCATATTTCCGAACCTAGGCATGAGTTGGGCTCGCTTTACCTCCGTTACACCTCTGGGTTTCCTCCAGCCTGGGTTCGCCAAGGGGTTGTCCCCGGAATCCCATAGAGGTACACCACCCCCGGAGTCACCTTCTGCGTTCCTACAAAGATACGGTCACGGTCGTCACCAACCAGCAAAAAAAAAAAAGGGGGGGGCGCTGAAACCGAGATAAGCTCGATGGGCGGCCAACCTCGCGGAGTTTGACTTCAAAGTTGTATACCGCCCTGGAAAACTAAAAACGCCAAACCAGACATCTTTGTCGCGGCGTTGGGACCACGCCCTTAAAGAGGGGGGTAAGGCTCATCAAGACCCTGAAATTCTTGTTTAAGCCAGGACAACTTATAATGGGTTCTGTCCAACACCCGATCGTTATGATCAACTCAGCATGTGCAAGATCAGCCCAAATCTGCAAACTCACACCGGTGCTCCTGGATGAAATCTGGGCTCAAGCAGCCTTAGATCCAGAGTACCTCTCTTTGAAAAAAGCCATTGAGAACACCTCTGGGAATCTGGTGAACCGATACCTGACTTTAAAGGACGGACACGTCTTCTATAAGGAAAGGTGGTACATTCCAAATCATCGGGAACTGAAGCTCAAGATCCTGAGCGCCCTACATGATTCGAAGACTGCTGGTCACTTTGGACAATTCAAAACGGCAGAACGCCTTCGGGCACTGTCCTTTGCCAAAAGATGGACAAGGATGTGGAAGAATACGTTCAGAGTTGCGATACATGTCAACGCGCTAAAGCCTCAAACACACAAGAAGAAAGGGATGTTGCAACCTTTAGAGGTCCTCTCTATTCCTTGGAGTTCCATTTCAATGGACTTTATCACCAAAGCAACCATCGAAGAACTTGCTCAAATCTTCCTCCGGGAGATATGGCGACTGCATGGACTTCCTGAGGAGATTATCTCCGATCAGGACTCTAGATTCGAAACATATCGTCCTCAAACTGACGGGCAAACTGAGAGAGTCAACCTAACGCTAGAACAGTATCTCAAAAAAACTATTGCTTCTGTCAGCGGGACGATTGGGCAGAGTTACTCCCGCTTGCCAAGTACGCCTACAACACGGCCACCCAAAGAGTCAACCAAAGCATCGCCATTCTACGCGAACTATAGGTTTCAACCAGATTCCACTTGGCCCTCACTTAAACGGAAACTAGACAACTTCGACGCGCGTCCAGCGCGGCACAAGCACAGCAGAAAAAATGGTATGTATGATCAGAAACAGATGAGTGCTCCAGAACTGAAGGTTAGGGACGAGGTGATGCTGGACCGATGCAACATCTTAACCAAGTGACCCTCAAATAAGCTAGACCACCAAAAAAAAAAAAATGGGTCCCCGTTGAGGTTGTCGGGAAACTTGGCGTCGCGTCCTACAGGCTGAATCTACCCACTCAGTGGAACATTCATGATATCTTCCATATATCTCTGCTGGACCCTCAACGAGCTATACTGCTTCCACCTCCGGATGAGGTTCAAGGGGAAGGCAGTTACGTTCTCAAGAAAATAGCCGATAGCCAATGACAGCAGGCTGGTCGTGGGAAGAAGTTCGTGCAAATATCGGATTACCTGGGAGGGTTATCTCTCAGAAGACTCTTGGGAACCGTACAAATTGTTGTAAGGAATGGCAGACGAGCCACTCCGAGAGTTCCATGCGAAGTATCCCCGAAAATCATGGGACGCATGGTAATACAGGAAAGTGCGGGAAACCGAGACGACGGAGTGTTCTGGGATAAGCGTGGAGAAAACGAGTCTCCCCTTGTTAGGTCACACGTTTCACTTGAGGTTTCCTTTGTCAATAGAAATGGATGCAAAAAATAGAGTGTAACGGAGCCATTTCAACTGTCTGGTGTATGAGTACACACAGGGCCCGGTTACATGCTGAGAGTTATTGATAGAAGCCAGTTGCACAGTGACATGCAAGTACCGGCAGTGTGGTTAGCTACCAGCTGTCGGAGTAACTACATTCTGAGCGCTAGGAAGAGGATCTATTCATGGGAGCAATGATTGACGAGTCTATGCCTCGCCAATGATTAGAAGGCCAGCCAGAGTGAAGCTCTGAGTGCTCGGCGATCATCTACATCCTCTGAGCATGATAAGTCCGCCGGTAGTGGCAGGGACTACGCCTGGGAAAGTCTACAATAAGTAAAGAGCTCTACAGCAATGATTAAGCTTACGCCTGAGCGGGCAGGTCCCGTTGTGCGACAAAAGACTGCAGGTGTTACAAAGGCTTTGACTAAGGGTGGTTGCCTTCGGAACCGGAAGCCTGCCCCGTTTAGCAGACTAAGTTAGCCTTGACCAAGGCGGACGCTTAAGCGCGGTGGTATTGCTTCGGAAGCACCCTTCTAACGCTTAGAGAGAGAAGCGGGGATCACCTTAGAAGGAGTACCAGTAAGGAGTAGGAGCAGGGAATGGAATCCTTTGGAGTATAAGTACTCAGGATCCTTCCCGCCCAACTATCCGATTTCCTGATTTCTATCTTGCACGGCCAAATCCTTTCTCTCGGATTCTAGCGATACGAGGAAAGGCTGTCCCCGTTACATTGAGTTTGTATGGAATGATTATTAGAGCTACATTTTCTTGTATGCTCATAACATACCATACCAAAAAGCCTAGGTTAGACTCGGGACGAGTCTACCGGAGGGAGGAGTAGTGTAACAGGGCCACAGTAGGGCTGTTACAAAAATACCTGTTCTACCAGTCAAGCCATACGGCCCTAGGTTAACCGCAGCTGGTTCTTCTTCATCGATGGGTGAAGAGAAGGGCAGATGAGCCCCTACCTCTATTGGTATAGAGGGTAGAGATCCTGGCGAGAGCAAGAAGTCTTACAAGTCAAGCTAGACGACTGGACCAAAAACTAGAGCAGCAGGACGAGCAGACCAAATAAGGAAGGGTAACCCCAAACAAAAGTTACCCTACCTTGGCATTCAACCTTTGAGGCGCAATAACTTTGCAGCCGATGCCCGGAAAATATGCTTTACCACGTCAGAAAGGATCCTGGCGATGCTCCGGTCCATTTGGGGTGGTTGAATGAACGCATTGCGGAGTTGAGGAAAACACTGCAAAATAAACACGTTTTAGACCCCCAAAAATAACCCCCGGAGCGTCGAACCGCCGGAACCCTCCTGTTTCAGCCCGGTGCATCTTTGGGGGGAGTAAGAGTGCGACCCAAACTACCAAAGCAAACCTTTGCTTTAAAAACACCCAAATCTATTCTAAATACTCTGAATAAGCAATTGCTGTCTGGTCTGGTCGGCTGTTTCCTCTAGTTCCTAGGATCCCGACCCTTTTTCTTGGCAAGGATTGCGAGATTTGACTCGGACGAAAATTCGTCCGCGGTGTGGTAGCAACTCTTCTCCTCCCCCCTGATAGAAAATAGGTGGGTGGTGCCCCCAGATTATTTGAAAGGCGGACGGCCAGTGAAAAAAGGAAAGAGGTAATGAAGGAAGGGGCGCCGAACTTCCATAAAGGAACTCGGTTGCCCCAGCTTGGTTTCGGGGGGATCAGGGAGTCTTTACCAGCGAGGAGCCCCCTTAAAGTTATTAAGTTTCTAGACTACAAATAACGATCAAACAAATGAAACTCTATCTTTCCATCGAACGAGCCGAAAGAATAGCTTGTCGAATTCCTTTCTGCCTATCTACCTGATCGAAGTCACGGTCGCGCCCCTTCAAGGCACCCCCGTTACACCAGCTGTCAGAGCAACTACATTCTGAGTGCTAGGAAGAGGATCTATTGATGGGAGTGATGACTGATGAGTCTATGCCTCGCCAATGACTAGAAGGCCAGCCAGAGTGAAGCTCTGAGTGCTCGGTGATCATCTACATCCTCCAAGCATGATAAGTCCGCCGGTAGTGTCAGGGGCATTGCCTGTGAAGTCTACAATAAGCGAAAGCTCTATAGCAAGGATTAGGCTTACACCTGAGCGGAGCTCATTCCATGCAGGTCCTGGTTGTGTGACAACTCAGGCTGCAGGTGTTACAAAAGTCTTTGACTAAGGGTGGTTGCCTTCGGAACCGGGAGCACCCGCTAACGCTAAGAAAGAAGCGGGGTAGCGGTGGTATTGCTTCCCTTCCGCTAAAAGGCATCACCGGATCTTAGTAAGGGAGTATGAGCAGGGAACGGAATCCTTTGGAGTATAAGTACTCAGGATCCTCTCCGCCCAACTACCCGATTTCTCCAGTCTTCATCAAAAAGGTTATCAAGTATTCTACTCGGTAGCAGAGCCCTTAAAGATTATTCAGTTATTAGCGATAAATCTTTAGGAATAATCTAAACCTGATTTCTATCTTGCACGGCCAAATCTTTCTATCGGATTCTAGCGATACGTGGAAAGACTGTCCCCGTTACATCGGCTATCGGTTGGCGGACTTAGACGATCTCATTTATAAGTACTAGTAATCTATTATGATGTAGGCCTACCCTTTACTAGATAGGCCTCGTGGCTACGACGAGGGATATAAGTAACGAGCCATTCCCTGACTAGCTGGAATCATTGGCGAAATCAGAGCCTTAAAAGTATATCTTTGATTAGACCTCGGTAACAATAATCAAGAGTATTGTTCAAGTTTAGGGGATTACTGTATCTTCAGCAGTATTCCATTGCGCATTTCATACTTCTTACTTCTAGTGTGACGATTACTTCACCTAAAATCCATTCGTCAAGGCAGGATGCCTACCTGAACCCGACCAAGGAAATCAATAGTGGATGGCCACGAAGCCAAGGGGAGCTCCGGTGGACGGTCTACCAGTGACCATAACACCTCTAGGCCTTCTCGCGCCATAGGCGTTAAAAGATGAGATATCACATTTTGTATACTTACTAGACGCAAAAGACTACGTGTCACATTTTGGGGCAGCGGAATGAGATTTTGTGAGGTTTTGGGCGTGGAAGTTCGTCCTGGCGAAACCCATTTTTTGCTGATGAGCAACCTTGCCAAATCTATATCACATAGTTTTGGCCAACAGAATGTAATTCCCAACACCGGAGAAAGGAAATCTTTTATATTAGGGAGATTTAGCTACGGATTTTCCATAACTATAAAGCGAATTTACAGGAATTTTGGGGTTGTAGCCGTAGCAACCCGCCACATGTTTGGTTCTAAGGGGTTATCGATCATTGGTACCTCAGTTAAATATCTTCCATAACCAAGGGTTCTCGATAACTATAAGATGAGAAAATGGGATAGTGCAAGCAGCACCTTCAACAAAATAATGAGCTCGGTAAGGTCAGATTCACAACCACACAAACAAAATCATATTTTTTGCAAGTTAACACAAGATTTTGATTTTGTCCTTAAGTATATTTCTAAAATTCAGATAATAATACATGGCTTATGGATATCGGTGTATGGTTGGCTAAAACTCCTTTTAGTTATATCCTATAAGTGTTCACCAGCCTCCAATCTTTTTTAGTTGTCGTTTGTAGCTAAATCTCCCTATTCACCAGTTTTCACTTTTAACATATCAGGTTCGGTAACACATTGCGATTCGGCCTGACCACCCAAGGGATAGTGGCGTGTTGTGATTAAGGAGAACAACGGATCTCACTTGAATACTACCTCTTCTCGAAACTCTCACGAATATGAAGCTTGCAGAGGTTCTTGCAGATCTTACAAGTCTGAAGACTATTGTATTTGGCCCCTCCGAGATTATAATTCCACCCGAAATCAGTTATGCTTACTTTCACTTTTGTATTTTAGAGTGCAGTCGACGCTTTGAATCTTGTTTCCCCGAACTATACCAGGACATCGTCCATGAAAACGGAGGATGATGACTTGACTCGTGCCGAATCTTTTTTGACCCTACAGTCCGAACAGGGCACCCGAGAAAGTTTGGTCCGAAAGCAGAATGACGTAAACTACGTTGCAGAAAGGCTGGAGCTTACGATTAGTATCAGATCTCCTAAGTGATACAGCTAGCCTTGTCTACTAGAATTTGTTCCTAGGACGTGTTATATTTTTGGGCTGTTCGTTTGAAGTGTATGCATAAAGTTATGGAAATTACATGCAGCGGTCACCACGCCATTGCTTCTATTTGACTTAATTTACCCTAAACTCTATATTTACAATTCCAACGTACAAGTTTATAGCCAATCTAGATAACCCGAATATTGTGGAATGGTCCAATACGTGTAACCTTATCCAAATTACCTCTACAGTTCAATGAAACTTTGGATTAGTAAATGAATAGTACACATGTATGTTACAACTTCACGTTTGGTTGGCTTTCTCAAGAACCACTTACTTTCTCTGCACTACTACCCGACTGTGCGTTGCTAGCTTCTTCATCAGGTGTCCTCTTATCATCTTCCTTCTCGTCGATGTCTTGGTCGTCCTTCACATTCCTCTTAGAGGCCGATTCGCCCGCAGATCGTTGTTCATTCTCCTCTTCAATGAGCTCCTGCTGCTCCCTCAAAACCTCCAGTCTTTGCTTGTTGGTTGCTGCTCCCTCTGCAGTGTTAACCTCCAACTCAATTTCATGATAAAGTTCTTCCGGAATGCTACTCAAGACAGCAACCAATGCATCATAGTGAGATTCAATCTCACTCTCTTTTCCTTGATACATGAATGCATTGGATAGCACCAGAAGAGTAGAGGGGAGCCCATGCTTCAGGCGAAGTTCAAGCCAAGTGTTAAGGTCGTCCCTTAGTCGCCCCGGACTGACTCCGTGGGTGCGTATGCCCCGGGATGCACAAGCAGTTTGTAATTCTGGGACGGATAGCGAATCTACCCCTTCGTAAGAGATGGCACGGTCGTCACGTTTGATCTGTCGCATTCGGTGGCGAATGTTGTATCGAAGAATCGCATCCGTGCCAAATGTATTCAAATTCATGTAACGACACATGCCCACAAGTTGAGCTCTTGAAAGATTATCAAGAGTAAGATCATCGCGGAAGATCTTGCAAACTTTAATCACATCTTCGTGACTGGGGGATTCTCCGCTCGACCGAATCTAATTGTTAGAGAGATTAGGCATCGTCCTAAAAATATATATTTGTATAATAAACACCTTTTGAAAAAACTGCGCGAACTCTTCTCTTTGCCTTGTCTTAGCACTTAGTTGGATGCCGCCTTCACGCATAGTTGTTCTCAAAAAGTTTGAGACGTCCTTGCGAGTTGAGCGAAGCTTGCTTGACTTCAAATCTTTGGCTTTTTGATCCTCATATGTGCTAGGGAGTAAGTTTGGAAATATTTTGAGTGCGATGGGTAAGAAGAGCTCTCCGGCTGGTACAATTATGAAAACGGAGAATGGAACAAGACGGCCTAGATCCTTGACTGTACGTTCAAGCTGTATCAACGATGTTAGGTCGAATGACGACTAAGAGATTAGATCATGAAGAACATACCTGACGACGTTCCCTCCGGCTGAGCTCGTAGCCTGCTGCCATTTTCAGCGCCAAATTTGACGATATTTTAATCTCGGCACCGAGAAGCTTTGTCCCATCCCAAAAGTGCTGCACCCCATGTTTAATTTTCTGCCACACAGTCGTCTTTTTTTCCTCCTTTTTCTTATCATGGGATTTTCCATTGATTGCGGGGACCACGGTAACTTCTTTGCCATCGGCTGCCTCTGACCTTGCTGGGGTAGTCCCAATTTGCCCCAGTTTCACAGCCGTTGAAGGAATAGTCGTTTCACCTAGGTGTACTTTTTCTGTGACAACATCTCGAGCTAATGGCTTCCTAGCCTCTTGAGCATCGAAACCGGGGGGGGGTATAACTGTGTTACTACTAGGAGTAGATGTTTCTGTATTCAAAAACCGTTGAGAAGCAAACAAGATGTAAGCCGGCCGGTCGTGAGCAACCCATGATCTTAAAAACTGTCGGCTAGCAGATATCCCAATAGTAGATTGAAGCGAACCGCGATTGGCTTTAGAATGTTGTCAGAAAAAGAGATGAAATATATTTAGTAATTATTCGGGGGATTTGAATCATGTACCTGAAGAAAGAATGAAAGATCGCTGGGTTGCTGGGTTAAGAAGCAGTTTTGAAGCATTCATTGCTTGAGATGTGTATCGAAAACTGGACTGAATGATGGGTAATTGTTGGAATTGCGCGCAGGACGGAGAATACTAGACACAAGTACTTGTGAAGGGAGAGGCACGAGGCAAGGAGGGGGAGGAAAGAGAACGTGAGGATGTGATTCAAGACTCGTGGCTTAAGATCGACCATGCATACAGTCATGTTCTAGAAGCTATCGCTTCTCAGACTTCAGGGTTGATAATTTTTACAATCCCTTGTGAATTCAATTCTCATACAAACCCATTGTTATTCTTCGGACAAGGTATGATGCCATTGCCCTAAGATCTGTAGGGCTTAGGTAAGTCATCTGATACGCATTCTCGTCCGAGTGATGTCCTATGAATATACATACCTACGTCATTAATTTATGTATATATATACCACCAATATAACACTCCCTTATTGCTTGAATTCCTGAGATGCTCATAATATGGCCCACCCAGACTGACTATTTTTCTCTACCTTCCTAAGCTTGGGGTGATCATGGCTTGTTGGGGGCTAGAGACTTAACCACAGCATTCAATACTGTGATAAATTTGGTTGCATGGTATCATGCTCTGAGATAAAACTAAGTATTCGCCAAAGAGAAAAGTGTTCGGATGGAATTTGACAACAGGAAATAAATACCTCTGGAGGTATGTGTGAAAACAATGGTATTTTGTGGTGTCAAACCCAATAATTTGGGTCATACGATCACACACCTTCCTACTCGCAGTGAATACCATGGTATTGATGTCTGTCCGAACAGAGCCTAAGTACATTACATATTAATAATATCCAGTCCTGATTGAATCCAGCTTTTAACCTATCAACTCATTCGAACTTAGTTATTGTTTTGTTAATATTGTAACCTTCAGCTAAACCTTAATGAGCGTACTCAATAAATGAATTAACAATAGCAATTAATGAGAGAGCCGCTTCTCAAACGTTGCTATTCACGTCGTATCACTCGATAACTCTGCTTAGTTGAGTTTTAAACGACTAAAAATCTATTTCGTAGTACCGCCGACGCGCTACGCTCAATCGATGTATCAAAGTGCTTTTGTTCTACAAGCCGCAAGAACAGTATTATAATTGCATGGTGTACTGTAACTGTATTTGGTATCCTTCTGACATACTTATTTCACGCCTGGCAAGCAACCCTAGCCAAAACTGACGCTTGTGAATGCCGCTTTGAAGAGTGGAGTTTCAATTGCCAGAATTGACTGTTAGTAAATACGCTCTAAGAGTGAGTATCTTCTTCTGCGTTTATCTCCCCACCAGTGTGTATTTATATCAGTTCTGTTTGAATAAAGTGTAACCCCAAGGACACCACAAAGCAATTTGAAATCTCGTACTTTACTACAGATACATCTATTGAACCGCCAAATAATAGTTTCTACCTTTGAAATGCAAGTGAGGAAGGAAACATGCAAGATGAAGACAAACTGTTGAGAGAAAATCTTATTTTGCCCATCCTTTCTTCTACAACTAGCTTTATAGGCCGTTTATCAGCAGCCTAATTTATACAAAATCCCACAACGTTCTAATACCAAGCAAAAGATTCTAGTTTCCACTTTTTAAATCATAGGATTAGTTTTATATTGTGGTGCGGCCCCATTGACTTCGCTCTTTTTTGCTTCGATACTAACAGCCCAAAGTCATATATTAGTAACAGGCAATTTATAGTTAGTGGTTCGACTAGAGGAAATTTGGAGATATACATAGGTTCTGAAGCATCCTCTTCTTCTTCCGCCAGCAGTCGCTCGGCCTCCAATGCTGCAATACATCCTGAGCCTAAACCTCTAGTTAGAATATACAACTACCGAGTCCAAAAACCACAGAACACTTACCCGCGCTTGTAATTGCCTGTCTATACCGTTTATCCTGCACATCCCCGGCAGCAAAAACACCTTTGACACTGGTGTATGAAGTACCAGGGGTTGTTTTGATATAACCGTCCTCATCGGTGGCGATCTGGTTTTTAAATAGGGAGGTAGCCGGTTCGTGCCCGACAGCATAAAATAACCCATTGGCTGGCAACTCGCTAATCTCGCCTGTCACAACATTTTTGATTGTGAGGTTTTGTAAAAGCCTGCCGTCCCCTTTTGCTTCTGTGGCCACGGTATTATACAAAATCTCAACCTTTGGATGCGCCGTGAGACGCTTAGCCATGATGTTAGATGCCCTAAGCTTATCCTTTCGCACCAGGACCGTCACTTTACTCCCATATTTAGTCAAAAAGATTGCCTCCTCCGCAGCCGAATCGCCACCCCCAATCACCGCCAAGGGTTTATTCCTGAAGATTGGTACAGCTCCATCGCAGACAGCACAGGCGCTGATGCCACTTTGCCAGTATTTCTCTTCACCAGGGAGGTTAAGTCGTCGCGCCGATGCACCAGTTGCAATAATGAGAGTATCGGCGGTGTGGGGCGCAGCATCTTCACTATACTCGAGCCAGTACTTGAATGGTCGCTCTGACAAATCAACTTTGGATACTGTCTCTGTAATTATCTCAGTGCCGAATCTTGCGCTTTGTTCTCTCATGGCTTCCTGTTGAATATATCACATGTAAGTTCCGTACGGCCTTCTTGGGGAACGAGTGATACAACTCGTATAAAATTGGAGGCCCTACCATAAGTTCTTGACCACTAATCCCATTTGGAAAGCCAGGATAGTTCTCAACATCAGTTGTTGTAGTCAATTGGCCGCCGGCGGCAATCCCGTTTGCAAGCATTCCCTCGTACATAACGGCTGAACGATGTCGAGGTCAGTTAATTAGTCCACTGAAGGCAGTATTCAATGAGAAGACAAACGTTTCAGTTCTGCACGAGCTAGATAGACTGCGGCTGTATGGGCAGCAGGGCCCGAACTATAATGGAAAATGAAAGGGGGGGAAACGTTAAATTCCGTGACATCGCGATGGCGGGGTAAGCAACTCATACCCAATAACTGAGGCGGCATAAAATCAGTATGTGCGCAGCCAGAAGAGAATCCAATCAAATAAGGACGAACTTACTGACGACCTTGCTGTGCATTGAAGATGATTTGCCAAATAAAAAGTTCGAGTTGTGTAGTTGTTTCTGTTGGGTCCAAAGAAGTGTAATGGCACCGGAAACGCCTAGCAAAGGCCGGAAGGAGTACTTAAGAAAGCGTGGTGAAAACGTTTTGTCTGATCTATCAAACTACTTCACAAGTGGATCGCTTGTGAATAATTGTTTTAAACAAATGCGAAGAGAGAGAAGAGAGTAGGTGGAATTACAGGTTTAGTTTGGAGGGGTTGCAATGCAGGGTGCGGAAGGAAACAGAGACAACACAGGCAAATAACCGTAGCTGGTAGTATTAAAAGGAAGAACGGGGTGGTAAAGTAACACAGTAAGTGTATTTACCAATGTCGCTGAAGAAGTTGATGCCGAAGTTAAGGAAAGGATGGGGGAGCAGAAGGAGAAGAGCATATAAGTGGAAACAGAAGACCAGAGAAATAGAAGTTCAATAGAAGTGTTGCTGATGTGATGATGAGCAGCGGCTCGAATCGAGACTTGTCTAATAGATGATCCGGCCTAACGGGTTCTTCCTTCGCCCTTCCCTAATTGGCCGACGCAGTTCTTTTATCGGCCTGTTCCCTTACAATGTTATAGTGGACCCGTTCTGGAGCACTACCTGAGCCTGCTTACATATACATACATGTAGGTATGTACCGGGTGTTGAGGGTAAGTGATCAGAATCTGATAAGGGAATGCTGCGGTGAATACGTGTTATTTCTTATCAGATTCTGATCCCTTCTTACGTTTTCACGACATGTGGCGATTGGTGGCTCACCATACAAATTGTAGAAGCTAACTGCAAATGTCGGCTGGCGATGCAAGATGGGCCCACTTGTCACGCAAAAGTTCTCTAAAAGGTAGTGGAGTATACTAACATGTTGTGCACCTTTTAACCCGCTACTTATTTATTTTTTGAAATTAACCACCATAAACTGTGTTCCAACCACATTACACAAGCCCAAAAGTTTTTATCACTTAGACCTCAACCCTCACCACGATGCCAAGCCCACCCCTGACATAGTCACTATCCTCTCACAAATGAGGTTCGGAGAGCTTGATGAAGACCTTACCGGCGTGACCAACACCAACATCTTCGCCACTTAAGCCTTCTAGATGCTCAACGCGGAGAACATATCAGCAACCCGTGCATGTCTTCAGGAGACACCAGAGGCTTTAAGTTGGGAGACACCCCACCAAATTTAATTTTCTGGAGGCGGTTGGCCCGTTTGGAGGCCTCCTTTGCCTTCGCTAACATCAGCAAGTTTGTACATATTCATGAGCCTCCCAACAGTCTCCTGAGTCTCCTAAGGATCTCCTGAGAAATCAAAACGGATTTTGATTCTCTGGAGATTCAGGAGATACTTTACAGAAATTGTTAAGCTTGCTGTTGAATGCTCAAGAGGCTCTCGCAATCCTCCAGCATGCCACTTCAGCCCTCTCTAGAGCCTGCATTCATCATATCTGGTTATACTCTGTACGACTCGCAACGCCGCTACAATGGCCTCCTGAGCCTTTCAAACCCTCCGGGAGACTCAATATCACCCCACCAAATCTCTAGAGATCCTCTGAGGCGCGATTCTTGCCTACAGCTCTCTGAACAGGTTTTTTCATCCAGTGCAGTAATGCGAAACCTCAAAGGGTTGTCACAGCCTACTAGAAAACCTTTTAGAAGGCTTACCGAGCCTCCAACTTATTACCACTGGATTACTGGAGTGAGTCAGAAGCCTGACTCATCCTCTCACGCTCTTTCACGAGTGCTTATCACGCTATCTAGTAGTCTCCGGAAGCTATTCAAATTCCCTACCCCAGCACTATCGCCCATGCCCTCCACTGGCAGAGGGCCCACCAATCCCTCCTGCATTAACATGCCAGTGAACTAGTTAGTAGATTTGTGCTCCACCCTCCCACGCTTTCCAGAAGGTGTACCGACCCCTCTTATGGTCTTCTGACCCTATTCTTGGTACTAACACCCCCCCTCACCCTCTCCTGAGGGCCCACCAAGCCCTCCTGTAGTCTCCCGATGCAATTCTTGGCATTCGCACCACTTCCTACACTCTCTAGAGGGCCTACCAAGCCCTCCTATTATCTTTCTACCCTATTTTTGGCACTGGCACTACCTCTTACGGTCTTCTGAGCATAGTCAAATTATCACACTTCCCCCTATACCCCCCTAAAGGCTTATTGAGCCCTGGAAGAGGCTCCTGAGAGTGATCACTACTCTTGAAGGTGTTACCCAATTGATTCGGTTTCTGAGAGGCTCTAACGCTTCATAACCTCCGAATCTGATTTACTCCTTAATAATAGCTTACAATTTCCCACATCTTTACCTAATAACGAAAGCATCCCTTCAAATAAATAAAAACATCGCACAAAAACACACGAAAATCATTTATCCCCTGGCAACGCATCGCCAGAGGCATTTGTCTAGGCTTCTTGAGCATTGGCCTCGCCCAAATCCCTCCCCGTCACCACTGGGTTTTCTGAGGCATCATCAGTCCCCAATAATATAGTCCGGTCCCGCTGAGCGTTCCGGCGCACTTTCGCGGCCCTCCATGCTGCAATGTCTGCTGCCAACTGCACATCGTCCTCTTCCCTTCCAATTTTGGATATCATCTCTCGAGGGCCTCGCAATTCCTCAATCTACAGGACTATCAGTCTCCATCAATTGCGTGCGCGTCTAATGTTTTTTACCTTATTTTGAATAGACTTTCTTATTACCTCCAGAGTCCCCAGCTGGTTTTCCTGCATTCTTCTTCTCCAAATATTAAACATTCTGGCGTACGTGACTAGGCAAAAGTTAGTATGTCGGGACTCCTAAAGGGCTTGATAAGCATTACACAAGATATCGTTATTCTGGCTAGTGTTAAAGTACATTCCTTACACATAATTACCTGTTGTCCAACATCGCAAAACAAACCAAATAGCAGTGCAAACTATACAGATGAATTAAGGAGATATATCATCTATGGACTTAGGATCCTTCTCTACACGTATTTTGTCACATTTGTTATATTTTAGAAATATTACTTCAACGATCTCTGTGGCCCAAAAGTGTCCACGACCTGTCTAATAGATGTTAGACCCTTACACATGATGATTGAGCCTTTGAAATAGCCTGTAAAGCCCCACAGAACTTTGAAAGTAGCTCTTACGGCATAGTTGTCGGGGTCACTAATGAAACGATTATTCTCGAGTAGATAGTTAACTTTGTCAGCCTCGTCTCTGTGGTTGTTAGGTCTTTCAAGCCATATAAGAGGCCTTTCATATAACGGAGCCATTTCAACTGTCTGGTATTGTAACGGGGGTGCTATGATAGGACACGACCGTGACTTCTATCAGGTAGAAATGGTAAAAAAGGAACGAAACGAGTTATGATAGGGCGCATTCGATAGAAAGATAGAGTTTGTTTGTTTGATCGTTATTTGTAGTCTAGAAACTTAATAACTTTAAGGGGTTTTTTCGCTGATAAAGATCCGATAATTTTGAGAGGCCAACCTAGGGCATTACGGAGTTTCTTATAAAAGTTCAGCATCCTTATTCAGATTCATTGTTCTGATCGCAGTCTGACTGTCAATAGTTGGGGGCACAGTGACTATTTCCTATGAGAGGCAAGAGGAGTTGCTACCACATCTCGGACGAACTTCCGTCCGAGTCAAATCGCGCAATCTCTGTCAAGAGCTGTCGGGATCCTAAGTACTAGCAAGAAACAACATCAGCAAGCTCGCCTATTACCCAGGGCGCAGCCCCTACGTCCTGGCGGGCATTCTGCGCCACGAGCGCCCAGCGCGTCCGGCACCGCCAGAGTACAACCTTCCGCCAGGCTCCGCCGCAGGACCGTCCCACTCTCTGGGACCGCCAGGAGATATGCCTCACGTCCGGAGGGCACTCGCCAATGCTCTGGTCGCCTGGGCCGCCATGAGATTCCCTCCCCCTCCGGAGACGCTAGGATGGAGTGACTCCGCCCACAGCACCTAGGAACTTTTGCTTCTTTTGATTACGTCAGTAGTACACCGAGCACTTCCCAATGCTCTCACAGTTTTCTTGAATGCTCTCACGGCACGACGAATGCTCTCACGGCACGGCGAATGCTCTCACGGCACCGCGAATGCTCTCACAGCACCGCGAATACTCCCGCGAATGCTCCCGCGAACGCTCCGCGAACGCTCCCGCGAATGCTCCCGCGAATGCTCCCGCGAACGCTCCCGCGAACGCTCCGCGAGGGCTTCCGCGAGTACTCCCAGAGCACTCACCAGTGCTCACAGAGCTGAGGCATTCGTCATACCCACTCAAGGTGAGGCAACCCTCACTTGGGCTCCTTTGGATTGATACACCGTCCTCAAAGGATAGGAAGGCCGCACCAGTCCCTCAAAAGATATCTAACGTGGGTATCCTCAACGCCGCTGTACGGTCAGTCGCGGGATACTGATACGAGCACTGTCCTGTATACTGGTGACGACTACCCAACCTTTGACGGACGTGTATGTTTCTGTCGATTCGTGAAAGGCAAATTAGCCTTGAGGTTGAGGCCATGGTACGGCTCGTCTGAAAAGCTCAATGTCCATGCATAAGCCAGCAAACATGGACTGGCATTTGACCTCCTGGAGCGAGCTTGCTGGATAGCCAGACTCAGATACTGAGCGGCCGAAACTTTACCTCCTTCTTCCAATCCGCATGATAGCAGAACGACACGAATTTGGAATTAGAGAGTCCAATTGGGTCTAACGTCTAGAGCACCAAGAATGCCCTCACGGCTTTACAAGTATTCAACTAAATTCATTCCACGTACGCAAGTCTATCCTAGTATTTACCAACCAATTACCAGTCTCCACCTCAAACAAATGGGCCATTCCCAATATACTCCGAATATTAACGACCCACATCCTCTTCCTCCTCCTCCTACAAACCTTCAGGAGCCCATGTGAGCTATCAGCGTACCACGATCCTTTGCCTCGAGTAGCTCCACTATACATAGTCTATGTGCTCGCCCCCACTGTCCCGCAGCTTGAACAAAGCCTCGACACGTCCTGGTAAGCGTCCCGAAACCACTCCCCACTCCTCTGAGGACGCTACCGACACCCATACCCAATCCTTTCTTATTTTCCCTTTCCTAAAAGCCGCGTTTTCCCGTACACCTGATATTTGTGAACCTCGTACACCTCAGGTCTTTGGAAGATTGGTATCGGAACCTGCAAACATGTGAACATCTCCACCCGGCGCTCTAAAATGCTCTCAGAGCTTCCGGCAAAGCTTTGAGAGCATCCCGTATCCTCTGCATACTCCTTTATCAGGCGATATAACGTGGTATGGCTTATTTGCAGTCCATCCGCAATATTGAAAAGTCTTTCCGATTTCGTGGAGGGGTTGCAAAGACGCCTTAGAGGCAGTCGGCCTTCTACTATGGATCGTTCATTTGGTGTTTTTTTCCGGTCTTCGATTTTAAAAATCTCAAGTAACTCCTTCAGGTTATCTCGATGGCTCCAAAGGATGTCGTCAGTGCTCTCAGGACCTCCAACAATGTCTTTCAGATTCAGCATTCGAATCTCTAACGCCAACCGCCGCCCCCCATAGTCCAGTATCTGCGTTGCAGCATCGACCTTGTTGGATGCTCCGTATGCCTCTTTTACCTGACGTACATGGGCGAGTTCGCTGATGTCGGTGGAGTACTGGGGAATGCTCCCAAAGCGCTCGACATGTTCCCGATAGTGCGTTAACACGTGCAATTTGATGAAGTTGAAGTGAGACCTTTCCCGTATATCTCGCGAATCTCCTCCAAACCTCGCTGAGCGCTCTGGGAGCCTGAGGTCTTCACAGCTTTTGTCCGATCTCTCGCATCCTTAACCGTCCTCTTGTACGCCCGGAATTCTAAAAAGATATCCTTGTGCTTATGGAAATCCTCGAGATAGCTCTCCATATAATTCAGTGTGCTCGTCGTATGACTCCCATACTGCGCCATTAAGTGGAAGTCGATTAAGCCTCGTACACATTTCAATGCCTTTGCAAAGTCGCCCCTGACAGCCACCCCCGGGTTTCTCAAAGCAGCCGCGAGTGCTCCAAGAACGACCCGCCCCAGATTTCTCATCTCCTTCCCTTGCCATTGGGTTGTGGCACGATATGCCTTGTTCAGTACTGCCAGTCCAGGGTAAGGCGCAATCGAGGCCCAAGCCTTGTCAAATTCCTCCAATCGATTGTGCTTCTTCAAGAAAGCCTGAACCCACTCCATCATGTGCTTCAACATCCCTAGGTAGATATTGTGCAGAATGTCCGGTTTGTTGAGATCGTATGGATTAACCCTCGGCATACCCCAGAAAGCATTGAAGAGTGTCTTTACTGATCTCGCGACAAGGTATTCCACCGGTCCCAGGTTTCCCGGGTTCTCCCTGAATAGCTTTACCCTCTCCCTGTAATCCTCGTGATCGCGCGTAGGGCTCCGGCGAGTGCTCCCAAGACTGTGGAATTCCACCTCGCATCTTGGACAAGAGCTAGTACTAATATTTTGTAAGTTTGAATGCTCAGGTTGATCAGCGATCCAACCCGACAACACCGGAAAGCATAGACGTTGGTACCCGTCGGCGCATGCGATTAGCTCGCCTTCCTGAGAGCACTCCCGAATGCTCTGAAAGATCTCCCCAAGGGCGCGATGCAGCGCCATTTGACTCTGACGTCGTAAAGCGGAATTAGCGAGTGAGTTCTTCCCGAGCTTAGGTGGGACTGGCAGTAGCCCTAGGAGAATTAACGAATGCCCGGTGGGCTTGCTCCGGACCGATGACTTGATGTTCCCGATGGTAAGATAGATTGGGCCAGGCTTTCTTGTCCCCACTAAAATTTGTCAAATGTGTGCCATCTGACGCGCATATAATTGGTACCACAGTCGACCCCTCCGGTAAGGTATTCTGTCCAGAAAGCATTAGCGACTGCCTCTAGAGCACTTGTGAGGCTTACCAGACCTGCGTCTCCCACCACCAATCTCCCGTATGCATTTCCCCGTACATTCTCTCGCCAGATTCATTATGCTCTACCACTGGCGCGTACACCAATGACTCCCGAAAGGCCCGTTGGCCTAGAAGATATCGCACAATTACCATTGGATCCCGGTAATAGTAAGGGATTTTCTCTCCCCCAATATCCACCTCCGAATGATGCCAGCTCGCCTTTCCCAATATGTCATTTCATTTCGTCCAACCTCTTTATAAAACCTCGCCCAGTCCTGTAGGAGCATTCGCCACTGCTTGACGGAGCGTGTAGAAAGAAACTGTCGATATTTCCTTGTGAGGCCTTCGACAGTATGAAATAACGTGCCATTCTAAACTCGTATGCTGAGTTGAATGGGTGCCACGGGTATCGGAGAAGGTTTTGTGAGCATTCGTCGTAGTCCTCCGAGCGGTAGAGACGCTCCCCAGCACCCTCGTAAATCGTTGTCGCTGCCTCATGCCTATTTGCATCTCCATCTGTCTCTTCCATCATAAAATATGATTCGGATTCCAGATCTGAATTATTATCGGGATCTTGGTCATGATAATTGATACTGTTGCTCTCCGAACTATCCGAGTCGTCATCATGGGCATCTGAATAGGAATCGTGAATGCCTTCCGGGCTGTCGTGAGTGTCATCGGGTGCCTCTTGATCGCGCTCCAGGAGTAAAAATTGGTTTCCCAGCCATTCATCTGCTTCAAATGGATGTGTAGTTCGAAGATGTTTATCGAAGTTCGCGGAGGAGCTGTACCGCTTGCTGCAAAAGGGGCAAGACGATTTCATTGAAGTCTCATGATGCTAGCAAAGCACTCCTGAGTGCTCTAAAAATTTGGTTTCTGCCAAGGCCGAGGAGGCTCTTTCCTGCAGGTGCTGCTGCAGAGTGCTCGAATGATTTGATTTGTCAGCCAATGAGGCTCCTCTCACCTGCACCCCGGTCGGCAAGGCTGATTTTCAATACGAGTCTGATGTCATATACATCACCAACCGTAATACAAACATCAACACCAACACGAAGAAACACCCACCACCCCAATCAGGCGGCCAGTTATGCTAGATTCTATCGCCCTGAGCTGAGCATCTGCACTCTCTCCCTGAGCACTCGCGGAGTCTCTTCAGATCGAGACAGTGTTCTCAGCGCCAAATTCAACACTAATATCGACTACGAGCTCAAAGAATACATTCTCTCCGAATCAGTTTCCTAGAGGACAGAGTACCAACACCAACAAGAACACAAGCACCAACCCCAACACCAGAATGTTATCGACGTCACCATTGGTACCGTCAGAGCATCCCCGAGTGCGCCTGGAGCATTTAGATCAACGTCATATATTGAAGCAAACATTGAGTACGAGCACCCTCGAGTGCTTCTAGAGCATTCGTGGGTGCTCTCGGAAGCGTGATAAGCTCAAGAAAAAAGCTGATCGTACTCGGTATAAGAGCACCCCTCCCTTCCTTCAAGTTCGTGAGAAGTTCCTAACCACCTTCAAGTTCTCCCTACCTATCACTTCCAAGTTTTTCCATTGCTTTCAACATTGAAATCTCATCCTTCAAGTTCCTCCGTTTTCAAGCGATTTAACCTTTGCAATCTTTATAAATAAGATGGTATTTCTCTCTCCTAATCCAATTAATTTTAGAACCATACTCACCACAGTGATACATTAACATTATCAGACTCCAAACACCGCTCAGAGCACTCCCGTAGTAGCTCACAGAACACAAATCAACTTCCCAATAAGAAGCGCTTGCGTGACATAGACGAAGACGATAACGAAAAGACCCACCGAAAAACCAAGAAACACAAATCGTCCCGAAAACATAAGAAACACCGAACTTCCTCAGGTCGCAAATCGTCCCGCAAAACTGTCAAGCCTATCCCGGAGGAGATACCAGAAACACCCCCTAAGCAGTCGCCAGTGCTTTCCGGGTTCACCCCGATCAACAAGAGCCGAAAACAAAACCCTGTACCTCCACCAATCCGGACTGAAACCCGGACTCCGCCAAATACTAACCTAGCTCCATCGGACACTGAAGGGATCTTCCCGAGTAACTGGGGAGCAACCCTAACTGATTCCGACTCCTTTCCCGACTTTAGTTCCGAACCCTCTGAACCATACATAAGTGACGATCAAGACCCAGCAACAGGTCCAGCAACAGGCCCACTAGCAGCAGTCTCCACTGCTTCCTCAGCACGCAGCAGTGCTTCACCAGAGGCCCTTGTACGGACGACCGTACTTAGGGTTAGTGCTACCCCACCAGCACCCGCTAGTGCTCCACAAAAGAACGTTGCCCGGAAGACCATAGTCCCAAGTCAAGTTCTCACTCGGTCCAAGTCTAGTGCAGTCCGCTCAACAGGCCCAGCAACAGGCCGCTCAACAGGCCCAGCAGGCTCTACTACTCCCTCACCAGCACCCGTCAGTGCTCCACCGAAGGTTCTTGCACCGGAGACCCCTACATTCAAGCCCCGACGCCCCTCTCGGTTATTTTCTAGTGCAAGCCCGTCCGAACTAATAGACCACCCCTCACCAGTACGACAGAGACTAATTAGACCCGAGCCATCGCCGATTGTCCAAGAGACATCCCCGAGTGTTCAAGAGACATCCCCGAGTATTCAAGAGACATCCCCGAGCTCGACCGCATTCAAGATGACTCAAGCAAGCAAAGCGAAGATGACTTTAGGTCTACTCAACCTACCTAAAGTGTACACCAGCATCCGCAACAGCCTAAAGGCGGAAATGCAAAATGTGGGTTGGGTCAATAAAAGCACGTCCGGTATGGCTGCGTTCAATGCCCTATGCCTTTACTTGATGAACTTGCCCTCCCTCAACGGTTTTCTGCCAATTTGGACTGGGGGTGACTCCGATGCCCGTAGAGCACTGGCGAGTGCTCTACAGTGGCTCATCGCAGATGTTGGTATGAAGGATAGGTTATCAAGGGGACAGGGAGACCGTCAGTTCAAAGAGGCTGCCGGTGATAGTGATGATGATGATGACGGCGGTGGTCAGGCAGCCGGAAGACGCTCTCGCAAAGGGAAAGAGCGTGCAGTACCTCCGGAACTCGTGCGACCTTCCATAATGGTTACCGTGGTGGACCCCGATGCTCTAGGGGCATTCTTTATGCTCGTCCCACCACCTACTTATGACTGGAATGATCCCCTGAACGAACCTTCGTTCATCGGAATTTTGACCAAGATAACTTTCCCCGAGCTATGCAACTTGATCCTGAAGCACACCGCACCCGGCAGAGCAGTCAGGACTATCTGGGGGGCAATTGAGAATGTCCCCCCGGCAGCTGTTCCTCCCGTTCGGCCGGTGGAGGTACAAATTACCGATTCAGAGGAGCTCGAAGGTTGGTTGAAGAACAGCAATGCCAGGCCTCGGAGGATATTGGCGGTCCTCCACAGAGCAGGCGCGGGTGCTAACCTGGGTGGTGCGGAATCCCCCCCGTTGAACCCGGCTTTCCCTCACGTTGAGGAAGATGATTATAGCATGATCGATATTCCTGCAGAGGATTCGGATTACGAGGAGGGAAAGCACCGGATAAATGCCAAAGGACTGAGGGTATATATGCCTAGAACTGATGCCAGTAATCAAAGGCTAATTCAGACTCTTGTTAGGCGTCGCGATAGACAGCAGGATGCTATCGACGATTTAGACCCCAAATACCTTAGGAAGTATCCTTTGGGTGTCGGGGTTGCTGACCCAAACTTCTTACAGGGGACGATCTGGACACCTGCCGGGATAGCAGCCAAGAGAGCTGCTGACGCACTCGCGGCTGCTGGTGCTGGAGGTGGGTGGTGTGGTGGTGGTGGTGGGGTGGTGGTGGTGGAGGTGGTGGTGGTGGAGGTGGTGGTGGTGGTGGTGGTGGAGGTGGTGGTTGGCGGTGGTGGTGTGGTGGGGTGGTGGGGAGGTGGTGGTGGTGGAGGTGGTGGAGGTGGTGGTGGTGGAGGTGGTGGTGGTGGAGTGTGGTGGTGGAGGTGGTGTGGTGGTGGTGGTGGTGGTGGTGGGGTGGTGGTGGTGGTGGGTGGTGGGTGGTGGTGGTGGTGGTGGTGGTGGTGGTGGTCTAGGACCTCCACGCCTCCGGGCGGACCTCCTCCTCCTCCGGGCGGCGGTGGTGGTGGAGGACCAGCTGGAGGCGGTGGTGAGTGGTGGTGGTGGAGGCCACGTGGAGGCGGTGGGAGGTGGTGGTGGTTGGCTGGAGGCGGTGGTTGTGATGGTGGCGGTGGTGAGGTGGTGATGGTGGTGGGCATCATTAGTTCCCTTTGGTATAATCTCTAACTTTCCTTCCTGCGGAATTGTCACTAACCTTTTAATAGTTGTTAGGATTACTCCCTGAGCACTCGCGATAGCTATTGAGGTGCGGTACGATTTGGTGTTTTGGATTTCCCTTTGTCTTGCGAGAGTATATCAATGGATGGGTTATATCGGATAGGATTAGATTAGATTAGATTAGATTATTCCAGGTAGTAATTGCATTTGCTTTTATTTCAAAGTCGAATCAAACTCTAGATTGCTCTCACCA